GAAGACGGCCGTAGTGATCGATGTAGCGGTTCCGAATGACAGCAATATCAGGAAGAAGGAACACGAGAAGCTGGAGAAATACCAAGGGCTCAGCTGATCACACTCAGCTGTCCCGTCCTGAGGTTTTGATAAAGAGGGTACAGAGCGCTACAACCACTCAAAGTCCCTTAGTCAAGGTTGACCTATAGGACGTCACTGCCATCAGGGTAGAAATGTTTTACTACAGGATAAAGGATCACTAGACCCAAACCATGGCAGTAAAATCCAGTCCACAAGATTCCTTATGGATTTCACATAATGTGTCATGTTTGTAGATTAGTAAAGAGAACCCTGAGCCTGGTTCTGCTGGAGGTTTCTTCCTGTTAAAAGGGAGTTTTTCCTTCCCACTGTCATGAAAGTGCTGCTCACAGGGGGTCATATGATTGTTGGGTTTTCCTCCCTATTAGGGTCTTTAACTTACATAAACCGCCTTGGGGCGACTGTTGTGGTTTTGCACTCTATAAATAAAACTTAATTGAATATTTGTATCTGATGTCTCATCTATGAAAATCCAATGTTATGACTGTTTGTCTTTTATTTTGTGAGGATATCTGTTAACTATCTACCTTTCCAACCACAATCATGGATAATGTTAATGCACAAAAAGGGCTCTGTGGGGGGCTCGGCTGCAGCAGTGGAGCAGAGGAGGCTGGGCCCTGAGATTTCACCTTTTCTAACGTTGATGTTAATTGTGAAGGTCATGAAGGGTGAAACTGATCTAACGATTAACTGTGACACACATCCACACAGAGGGTCAGATCACGTCTTCACGTCTGTGTTTCTTTTATTCACACACACATACAACCTAGCTTGAATTACCACCTTTAAGCTGCACACCACTAAAGTTTAAGCTCGTTCCTTCTATTTCACAACTACACCTTGGTATCCAACAGCATCGCTAAATGCAAGGGTCAGTCCGACTACAAAGAAGCAGTGGGTCAACACACAAACACTCACCTTTAATTCTTTCAGTGGGATACAGTACAAACAGTCAGAGCAGCAGCAGCTCTGAGGCAGTGTAACATCAGGTAAACAAACAGTGTACTACGCAGACGAGAGTTTGGCCCGGGCAGTTTTCACTGGCAGCAGCGTGTTCCTGCTGCTCTGTTTGCACGGCTGGCGTGTTGTCCTTCAGCTGCTGCAGGTTGAAAAGCCCACAGAAGTCACAATTGTTTCTTGACTCCTTACCAGTAAACTTGTACCAGCTTTCCCAGAGCCATCTTATTTACAGAGGACGACCCCGGCTGCAAGCTAAAGAATCATTTTGTGCAACGGCAACTCATTACTACCAGCTAGGAAACAATCTTTAGAGATGCTGCAGTGAAAACGCAGTTTTCAGTTAGATGTCGCTTGACAATAGTTCCAAAGGCACATTAATCCCATTAAAAGGCACGTTACAATGTTATATACAACGTGAAGCACTGTGAGGCGACTTTATGATTTGATGCTGTATAGATAAACTCAGTTAATACTTTGGATTCTTTCATTTAAATGGAAACACAATGAGCTGTTTTTTTTCTATGCTGTGTCCAGGTTCACTTTGAATATCAGCTGTGTTTCCATTTGAAGGGCTGAAAATATTGTTCAAATGCAGTTCGATTTGAAGACGTAAGCGGCGGTATGGACACGACAGGTGACATTACGGTAGCCGTGCTGTGCGGGGAGGACGAGGAGCTGCGTTCCATGCTGGCAGCAGGAGGACAACCTGCCCAAACTCCCCGTTTGTGTACATTAAGGACAGGGCCGAGTTTCCCCGCCTGTCTCAGTCTGCTGCCACAGTGACGACCGTCGCTTTAGGCTCTGACGTGTTTACATACAGCTTCTTTAGCACCGTAGAAATGACACATTTGTTATCTGGAGCGATGAACACAGAAAGAACTGTTTCCTCCTCATCACCCAGCTCCGCCCCCTAAAGCTAGTCTATCTTCACATTGTCTGAGGTGGAGGTTGTGACTAAACTAGTACCACAGTCAGTGATATAGTTCAGAAAGGATGCTGGGAGAAGACCTCGTACTGGTATACTTTCCACAATGATAAGGAGAGAATCATACAGTGACCATAAGTTGACCTTTGACATCAATGATTGGATAAAAGTAATCAGGTTATGTTGATGTACTGCGGCGAGCAGCGAGCTTTGTGTAGCACCAATAAAAGCGTGACCTTTGGTAACTGGCTGATGCTGAGGTGAGAGGTTACAGCGAAGGCTTCAGGGTCTGGGTGCCTTACAGGACTGGCAGCAGGCCTTCCTGTAGTACCAGTGGGAACACAGCTTCACCTTGAGAACCAGGGCACAGTTGGCTGTTGCTTTGTCCTGGCAGAAGTCTGCTCCTTGTGATGCTGCAGGATAAACACACACATAACAAAGCTCCTGTTAGAAAGTCATCGTCTCACGGCAGCATCGTCTGCTCTTGGAGTTTTTATACCTGGTGCTTCTGTCGGACAGCTCTGGATTTCACAGCTCTGCTTGGTTTCTGGCTTGAGGGCAGAGTCGCAGCTGTGACCCCTCGTTACCAGCTCCTCCCCTTGGTAACACTTGACCTCTCGAACCTGGACGCCACGCCCACAGGTCTTGCTGCACTGAGTGAACAAGAGGTCAAACTTGCCAATTGTAGTTTGTTGAGGAAAGTTTGAAAAATGTGAGACGGCTGTGATTGTGTGCTGGGTGGCTGATGACAGGCGTCGCTACCTGAGACCAGGATGTGGTGAACCACTTGGAGCAGGGTCTCTGGAAGCAGGATGAGCTCATCTGCGGTTTGTTGGTTTGGTTACAGCTGCTGTCTGGAAACTCTTTGAACACTCCTCCTTCCAGGCCAGCACACACCACCTGACGCTGTCGCACGCCGCGGCCACAGGTAGCGTTACACTGAAACACAGACGCAAAACTAAAGAGTGCACGATCCTTATATAGCGTTAAAATATGATGTCTTCACTGTGCCACAGTCACCTGTTGCCACTCCTGCTCAACCCAGTGTGGAGCACAGTCTCTGTCACCGCAGGGATAGATGGCCAACGGGCGTAACGGCTGGTCACACTGCCCGTCTGACATCACAAGTCCGCCTGACGAACGGCAGGTCACAGAACGCACCATCCTGCCCTCCCCGCACTCACCTGAGCACTGACACGATGCAGAGACATTTTCATGCAAAATACATTTACACGCTGCACAAAAGCTGCTCATAACCTCCACCTCTGAAAACTACAACACTGCAAAATCGAGTCAGATTAATCTGCTGTTTATCCCACTGTAATCCACTGGTTTTCAGCCCAGTAACTGACAGCCGCCGTTCCACTGGGACCATTTCAGGAGAGGCTGAAGCAAAGAGACGGATCGACTGAAGGCCCAAAGGCTTCAAATGCTCTGTGTAGTTTTTTGTTGCTCTATATAAAACCTATTTTAACCCGTTAAACTCTTTTATCTTCGGCATTTTTCGTAGAATAATAAAAAAAACATTGCAAACTCTGTGTTTTTGTGCTAATAACGAATAATCTTAATATGCAGTTTCAAAGTGGTTCTTTGCTAAGCTGTCTGCACACTGCACACACAGCCCAGAGTTGGGCATGAAGCAGTGTTTAGTGGCTTGACAAAACATTCAGGTTCAAGTAAACGAGTGAAAAAGCAGCGAGTGTCCACAGACGCTCATAAAGCCTGGAAAACTTTAAAAACGACAAGAAAATCAAAAGATAAAGACCCGAGTGACTCGAGACTGGTTTGTTACCATGGTGACGTATCTGGTGATACCTCTCACAGACACACTGTCAGGTCATCAAAATGACCAAACTTTACAGTTTCAGGCTTGGAAACAGTGATTGACAGTGTCAGTGTGTGGTGGGTACAGTAAAGGGCTGAACTCACAGGTCCCCAATCAGAAACGCTCCATCGTCTGTCACAAGGTGGGCCTTCACATTCCTGACTCTCTATTGGCCGAGAGGTCTCGTTACACAGTTTCCTCTCCATAGAGCAACGAACCTCTCGAGTGCGGATGCCCCGAGAGCCACAGCGTGCTGAGCACTGACACACGGAGGGAGAAACGATGAATGACAGCTGGTGTGATGAAGTATGACAATATTCACGTGTCCTCCTGACGGGAGACAAAATCTCAAAAAGGTGAATCATGGAAAGTTTCTTCTTGCTTGGTAACACGTAAGAACATGTAAGAAGTTTGCAGTGAACCAACATTAAACGAGAACTGGTTGTTATGAAAGTTAGACGCTGCTGTAGCACAAACCTCCGACCACTCCGACACCTCCCACTGGGGTCCGCAGCTTTGGCCGTGGCACACCTTCCTATTGGCTGGTTTGTGGAGATCATGTGACAGACAGAGCGAATCGTAGACAGAGGAGTCGAACCCAGGAGACAGCATCTTCCAGCAACGCACGATACGATACTGCACGCCCTCGCCACACGTCCGAGAGCACGCGCTCCAACCACTCGTCTCCCATCTGAGAACAAAGTGGAGTAGTTATCACAGGTCCGTAAAACATCTCCACACATGTAATGAATCACTCTCCTGGATTTGTGCTGGACTTCTGTTTAATTCCCTGGTGGGGCATCCATCCACGGTGGTGACCCCGTGTGATACATTATGCAGACGGCTTCAGGTGTAACCCAAACTATGGCAGTAAATCAAAGCTATCCCCAAATATTCACTCTTACAGTCCTGGAATCATTTCCAACGTTTGTCAAAAACATTCAACTACAGTGGAACCCCAACTTACGAAGACCCCAGTTAACAAGAAATTCAAGTTACGAAGGCACTTAACGGCAATATTTCTGCCCGTGTTGAGGCAAAATGCCAGTGTAACGAAATCCGCTGGCTCTGATTGGCTGAGCCCAGAATTCATACAATGCCCACAATGCCTTCCGAATCATGTGACAACCCCCTTGGCTGTCGTACTTGCGCTTCGCTGTTCCACTTGAACGACGTATTGTTGTTGCCGTTAGCAACTAGCCTATAGCCTACCGTTCACTCAAAAGGCGCGATGGCTGCTTCGACTTACGAAAGACCCTCGGGAACGAATTAATTTCGTAAGTCGGGGTTCCACTGTATATGCATACGATAACATTTTTAACTAAAATATTTATAATAATATTATAAATAGGCAGTAAAACATGAGGTCTGATAAATCAGCTCCAGATTATTGAGAATAAAAAGAAATCCATAGATATTTAGCAGCTAATGCAGTAACACAATTAGGCCAGATGTTTGTAGGAAATCTGGGTGATGCTGTAAATTTATAGATACAGTTATACAGTGGGGCAAAAAAGTATTTAGTCAGCCACCGATTGTGCAAGTTCCCCCACTTAAAATGATGACAGAGGTCAGTAATTTGCACCAGAGG